ACGGAAAAATGGCTGCGGACCACGTGCCAGGGGTGGAAAAATGGCCGCGGACCACGTGTCAGGGGTGGAAAAATGGCCGCGGACCGTGTCACGGGAGGGAAAATGGCTGCGTATCTTGCTCGTACCCCGAGGTGGAGTTCGCAAATTGAGGTAAATTTTTGCGGCCGGAGCTGGTCGTAACCCGAAAAGTTCATTAACAGAGGCGTTTGTAACCCGAGGTACCACTGTATTTTGGATTTCAACTTCAAAACAGTCCCTCTTTCTGTTCACCCCACACCACTATAGCTCATACATTTTGTTCTTGTTTCCTCCCCACAGTGTTGGAAGCTAGGGTGAAGCAACTGCGGGCTGATAACGAATCGGAGGTACTAAAGCCCAAGATGCAAATATCTCAGATCACAAAATTCAAGTACTTTCCGCACCCCAATACACAGAAAACAGCTGCACCCCAAACACAGAAAACAGCTGCACCCCAAACAGCTCAGGGCAAGCGAGTCCCAAAAGATAAAGCAGTGCGTATCGTCAAGCCGAATTTTTGGAAGATCAAGCTGAAGATGGAAAAATATGTGACTAACATGGCACTTTTGAAAACGAAGACCAATGCCTTGGAATCCATCCTCCGTTCTAATCAAACTCTGGAGGGAAAAAACTCCCCACAGTTCCTGGCGTCAGTCTGGAAATCAGTAGCACACGGCTCCGAGGGAACCCAAAAGTCGAGCAGCAACATCAGTCCAGCTAGGAGGCTGGCCTGGGAAAAAATCCAGTCTCCTGTTTCTTCTCCCACCAAGGCCTCCAAGGAGCCTGTGCTGAAGCTTAATGAAACGTTGCTGCAAGAGATGGGAGTCTACCAGGATGAAATTCAGATGAGCATTTTAGCCTACATTGACACTTGCCTCTTCCTCACCCAGAAGAAGAGAGCCCTGCAGTGTTTGTTGTACTTCCACAACTCCTTGCCGCTGAAGAAATGGTTGAATGCTCAGATGTTCAGTCTTCTCATGTGTCACTATTCCAAGCAGGTATTCCTTTTGCCTCTTTTCACACACAAAGCCTTCCTGGGAGGGTCCCACTTAGGAGATGACGTGCTTTCCCAAGTTGGGGGAGGAATTTGAATCCGGATCTCCTGGACTGAACGCTTGTTGCTCTCCGCAGCCATGGCCACTGTTGCGGGAAGGAGGGGAAGAGTAATCCATCCTGTCCAAAGGACACCCTGTTTGAGGTGGGGGGGGGAATCTGCCATCCTCTTGCACCAGGAGGAGCAAGAAAGACTTTAAAGAGGAAGAACGGTGTTGGCCGTAGAGCACTGGGGTGGGGAGAGCTGAGTTTAGATCCTGGCTCAGCCATGCATCTTTTGACATTAACATTATGCCTGTTGCTCTTTGCTGCTTAGGGTGGGGAAATATGCCTGTCAGCTGGACAGTGGGGTGGGGTAAGTGTGGGGCATGTGACTTAAAAGAGGAAGAAGGTGCCCTGTCTTCTAGCTAGGTCTTGCCTGCTTCGCTATTCTCATTGCAGAATTTATAGATGGTGTGTATTGATACATGCAGTGTATAGACGGCACGTTTATATATATGCAGAATATAAAGATTATGTGCATTTATATACAGGCAGTCCTCTACTTACGAACAGGTTACGTTCCAAGAGGCTGTTCGCAAGTCCATTTTGTTCCTAAGTCCAACCACAGCACACTGCATATGTACGCCCGGACAGTTACAGCGTGCAACCGTAAACATCTGGGTGTACGTATGCAGCACGCTGTAAACTTCTGGGACTTTCATTGTTGAAGTTGTTGGAGGTTTGTTTGTATCGGCGAAAGTTTGTAACTTGAAAGTTCGTAAGTAGAGAACTGTCTGCATATGCAGAATGTATAGATTATGTGCATTTATATGCAGAATATATAGATTACAGTGTGTGTGTGTGTATACTGTAGCCCCAATTCGCTATTTGCCCTCTTTTAAGCTGGCTCCTAGCAGTCTTTAAGTCAAACTACTTTCTGGAAGCTTTCTGTTCTTGTTGTGAAGACCCTAAGAAGGAGAAGAAAAAAAAATGAAACAAAAATGGAGCAGTAGAGACACAGCTGCCAGAGAGGCCCTACGTGGTGGCCATTCCTGCACTCTGTGTCAGTTCCCTGGAAGACTAATGGTGGCTTAACCATAAACCGGGGGCTACTGATTGTAGCTAACTGCTTCTGGGCTAACCTTAGTCACATTTCTGGGCCCAGACAACACGCTAAGCCACAGTATGGCTTAGTGTGTTATATATGAATGTGGTCAATGAGTTTTTTCAACTGGTTTGCAAGGCTGCAGAAGCAGAGCTGCACGTTATGTTCTGGATCACGTTACGGTTCTTTTTGAGGGCTGGGTGGTAGATAAGAGTAGCGGGATTGAGCGTGTGCTTGTATCCCATCCCTGTTTCCTTCTCTGTGTAGGCTGGGCTGAAGCAAATTGGCTGGCTGTTTTCCATGCTGGAGGAAAACAAACTCAAGCCGAATCAGGACTGTTATATGGCTGTGCTGAGCTGCATGGGTCGGTTGAACTCCGAGTCCCATATCATTTCGAGGTAAGGAGCTGCAGTGCAAATAATCTTCAAGCTCCTAGAAGTAGGACAGCCGTAGGATGCTGTTTCTGTTTGAATTGGTTGTGCGGGGGACCCATGATGTGAAGGAAAAACAGCACTCTGGCTGTGTAGCTCTGAAGGTTATACAGACCTTGTAATGGTATGTGGGAAAGACCTTGGGAGACGGGGCGAAGAGACGCTGTCAAGGGAACGGTCAGATAAGAGGGAGCATAGCCCACAGCTGGATACTGGGCGGAGCAAGAGGCTCAGAAGGGACCCTCCCTAGTTTCTTGGGCAGCAAAGGAGACGGGAGAATTGTACTTTCAGACTTGCAAGATTCTGTCAGTGTAGATGACCTATTGCTCTGTTCCTACCAGATTCTTTTTATGTGATTACATTTGTAATTGTCTGGAAGTTACTGTGTGCCCCCTAGACCCCTGTACACTCTGTCCCCAAGCTTAAGGCAAACTCTGGATGACTGTCCTTCCTCCAACAGATGTATCGAGCAGCTGCAACATGATGGATTCTCCCTGGAAGACTTCTTCCGAGACTCCACATACGAAGACAGTGAAGTGACGATGGCCTTGAGAGCCATCCAGAAGGTCAAGCCAGACTTCAAGCCACATTTCTTTTCCCCTGAAACCTGTGCAGTGCCGCTGCTGGAAGAATTCTATAAGAAGGTAAAATTGGAGTCTTTGTATGACCGTAGATACCTGGCTGTGGCCTGCCATAAACAGCCGTGTCCCTGTAGGACAGGAATGTCCTCTCTCTGGCTCTGCTTCTGCAGCCTACCAGCCTTCTTCCCTAAGAGCCAGCAAGGCCAAGGCAAAAACTGGGCCGAGCCATGTCAATAATAAATTTGGATTTTAACTGAACATTTACTCTTCGTTAAAATAACACCGGTTGAATTGTGGGCAGTGACTGAAATTATCGGCAGAAAGTGGTGTGTTGCTGACCATATCTGGGCTTCGAAGTTAAGCACGGTTGGCTTCGGTTAGTATTTGGATGGTAGGCCATCAAAAGGCCAGGTCTAAGCTGAAAAGTTTGAAAAATAGCTTGAAAGAAGGAAGAGACAAACCATTATTGTATTACTGCCGAGGCAAGTACCTGGTCCTGTCTGTGAAGAGGAGAGATTCAGTCAAGACTTTATTTTAGCACAGCTGCTCCCAGGTTGGCTTCCCGTGCATGCTGGACATGAAAGAACCCAATGTTCTTGCTGTGTTCGTATCCCATGTGATGCCAAACAGATACAGCATATAGTGGCGTAACATGATTGACCGATTCACACATGCTAAGGTGATAACTGGGTTTGCCCGCTATGCTATCCAGCCTCACATTTCTTTTGTTACTTATTTATGACAGTTCTCAATTGCTTCATTTGCTCAGTGGTGACATTCACAGTGGGAGGGGTCCTCTTAAGCCAAATGCAGCGGCCCTTCTCCTGGTAGTCACTGAGCTGAGAATAAGGCTTGGGTTTGTACATCATGCTCGCTTGTGGGTAATTTAACCATGGTTTGCTCCTGGGTTCATATAACGCATTATGCTCCAGCAGAGTTGGATGGTTCGAGGTTTAGTGCCCGGTTCACCTCATCCACTTCACCTGAAATAGAGAGTAGTGAAAAACACGATTGCTGAGTACATATAACGTGTGGTATCCAAACGTATTCAGTGCATCGTGGCATAATGTGATAGCCTGGTTCAGCCAATATGTTAAGACGAAAGCTGGGCGCGCACAATGTGCTAGATCACAAACTGACCGATCTCATTTTAGCTTAGCTGAACAACTTACACCAACCCAATTGGAATCTTTCATTTTTCCCCCTGTTGGAAGCTCTGGGTTTTTTATAGGCCACGTGTGATCTGTGCCCTTGGGTCGTAAATTAGGATGACCTTAAATTAACCTTAAATTAGGATTAAAATTCCTGCTGTGCACTTAGTTAATTAAGGAATTAATTAATTAAGGAATTAAACTTGACTTGAGGGCATTTTTTTTCTTTTAAAGAGTGCCAGCAGGATTTGCCTACCTTCAGTTTATGCAATTTTTTGCCTCTGACTCTGGGCCTTTCCTCTTTTGCACCCGTGCAAAGCCAAAAGCACCCCAGCGGCTTTTTTCCCAGCACGTCTCTACAACGCGGCCTTCATCTCTTCCCCAGCACATAAGTGAAGCAGATTTCAAGTATCCTAGCTGTGCCAGACATAAAGTAGTCTCTCTTCCCCCTTACTGTGCCCCAATCCAAGGTCAGCCTTAAGGGTCATAAAACCTGTTCAGCTTCATCTTCCATGGAGGGAAGGTGAACGGATGGCAGTGATTGGAAACCAAAGCAAAAGAGACAGGTGAGAGATCAGCGGTGAGGGCCCTGGAGGGCAAGGGCACATTATATCTGGTACGGCCATCCTATGTCTCTTGTTTTATTTATTCATTTAAAAGACATACATGGCCATCCATTTTGCGTTCCATAAGCCTGGGTGGCCTCCAAAACAACAATAAAACATCAAGCCATAACAAAAACTCCCAGTACCCCAAAGACAAGCACGCCTCCATGCGTCCACATTCAATCTGCGGGGCTCCAGCCTCACCTACCCCAACACTTACGGGAAGAGCCAGCTCTTCAATGCCTTTCGAAGGGTGGGGTGGGGTGGTGCCAGATCTTGATGTAAAGGGCAGAAGGAATAACCTTGGGGAACAGGAGGAAGAGCCACAACCAAGACAACAGTGGGATAAAAGAGATCTGAGTCCGGGGCAGAAATTTAGTTTAAGAAAGCGTCTCAAACAAGACCCTCCCTAATTCTCATGAAGATAAAGAGCGGGAGAGGGGAAGCATATTCCCACTTGCAAGATTCTGTTACTGTAACCTTATAATAAAAGTAGTATTAGCAGGACATCTAGTCTACCTTGAAGGGCTGACATTCAGTGGGAAGGGTGTTCCCCAAGGCAGGGGCCACTAGAATGAAGGTTTGCTTCCTAGATCCCACTAGATCAGGGTTCCTCAACCTGAGCTGTCAGAGTCTGCACACTCATTCCCAAAGTTCAGTAAATCTTCTGGAGTCTGATTAGTTCCATTAAAGATTTATTTATTAAGAGCAAATGCACAGCATCTATAGGTTGTTAAGTCTAAATATTGCTAAGCAAAACCTCTCCTTTTAAGCCCCTTTCACCCCCCTTCTACTTTCTTTTCCCGCTTGGAATTCTTCGTGCCTTTCTCCTGGTCTCACGGTTGCTTGACCTTGTTGGCGCCTCTGCAGAGATAACAGCAGCACCTGGCTTGGCATTTTCCTCCTCCCTTCTCCTAACTTCTATGGCGGGAACAAGCAAGTAGGCCTCTAAGTAACAGTTTAACCATTTAACTGTCAAATATGCATTGCTGGTCTAAATTAAAAGAAACTAAGATTTCTAGCTTGCG